ATGGTTTCTTGCAGTGCAGTTTCTTGGTCTGTCAAAGATGATGTAGTCTTGTGACACTGGAAACAAAACCAAGAAGAGATGCAGAGTTTTTGGCTATTGATGGGAACTACGTTGGAGTCTCAAGGAAGTAGATTGCGAGATTTGGTTTGTGCTCATTTTGAATAAGAAACAAACACAGTTATCCTATTACATACTGCCATAACATGTGCTGTCAGTGTAATGAATTCAGTGTAACAGATAAAGTGGTAATTAGTACTGGCTGTCAGGAGCTTTAGCTCTGGGCCCTAGAAGCTGGATGTGGGCTCTAGTCCTAGGTGGAATGCAACTTCTAAAATAGATACATAAATCAGCCAGGAAACCCGTTTTATAGCAAATGCGTTAATTGCTTGGCTGGGGATGTGCATGGACCCGTTTTCCTACAGCGCGCTGTATGTTCTGCACAGCTAAAATAGTCGTACGTGGTGTCGGAGTCTGTGTCTGAGTGCGTTTCCTTTTTTTTCTCTGCTTCAGTGAACATCAACCCAATATATTCTACTCCACACACAGAATGTTCTGGTGATAAATCCTGCAGGATCTTTCGCACTGTCTGGGTGAAATGTGTTTTCCCATTTTTGGTGGCATGCTGTAGTGAGTACCTTTGCGGCGGGGTGGGGGGGAGGCTGCTTCAGGACATGACTGCCATAGTTCTAGTTTGTGTTTTCATTGCAAGTTAATCACAGGCTCTTCTGTTTTAATGTATGCCTCTGAGAGGACTTTTGTTCTAGCTGTAGCTCTTCAGCTTGAAGTACTGATTGGAGGAGGTCGTTAGGCAGGGCTGGTAGATCCTCCTGCTGACTGGCACGGATGCCCAGTGCAGATACTGGAATTGTTCTGATCAATGCTCTCCTGTTGTTGGCGTGACAGACAGGCAAGGAGATAAACTTTTCCCCCCCTTTTTATCTCCACAGCACTTCACAGAGTTCCTGGATGAGTTTTCACCCGATGTCCTAGGCCAGCTCTTAAATGATCCCTTCTTGTCCGAGAAGAATGAAATAATGGAGGTGGAACTGTCTCCGGCGTCCCCAGCGCCCCTCATCCAGGCAGAACACAGCTACTCCCTCTGCGGGGACTCTCGACCCCAGTCTCCCTTGACCCACATCTCGACCGATGACAACTTCAATGAAGGTAGTACACACTGAGCCCTTGTTCCTTTGTCCTGATGATGCGCTAATGAAATGTTCTTGGTGGGGTGATGGTGTGCTAAGGGTGCATGTGAACGCTCTTTGCTAATTGATATACAGACAATGAAATCACAGAAGGGATTTGTTTGTTTTAAGTCTGCAGGCATTGTGAATAAAGAAACTTGTCCATAGACAGGAAAACTGTGCTCAGCAGAAGTTACTAACTTTGCCCTGTAAACATTTTGAATTAGAAGTGAAGTGCCCATCAAAAAGAACTGGGAGAAGGGCCAGAAATACACTTGTTTCCATGTATCTATCTGAATCTGTGGTTGTTGAAAATAAATAGAGAGTGATAAACCAAATGAGTCAAATGAGGACCACCATGAAGTCTGGGTACTGTAGAACATGACATGTAAGGAAAGGGTGAGATGGGTTTTGTTTGGTCTTCTGGAGGAAAGGCAAAGAGGGGATCTTATTGCTGTCTATGGCTATCATCTGATGAAAGGATGCAGACAAAACAAAGCTGGACTCCTCTGGGATACATAGTGATAGCACAAGAGGTAATGGTTGCCAGTTGCAAGAAAGGGAATTCCAGTTGGGTGTTAGGAAAATCATTTTCACCGTGAGAGTGGGTCAGACATTTGAACAGGTGTCCAGAGAAGCTGTGAAGTCCTCATCCATGGAGATATTCAAAACTGAGCTAGGCAAGGCCCTGAGCAACCTGATCCAAATTGTCCATACTCTGAATGAGGAGTTGGGCAAGATGGTCTCCAGAGGACCTTTCAAAGCTACATAATTTCAGGTTTATTAAAAACAAACAAACAAACCTTTTAAACTACACTTATTTTTCAGTAGTGAGTATCTGGAGCTTTCTGGTATCCCAAAATGAAAATCAGGTCATCTTATTTGTGTTTCTAAATACACATGTAGGAATGTAACTTCAGATGCTGCCCCAGTCTTAAAACCTGTCTTGCTGAAGTCCTACATTTTTTTTCCTTTTTATAAAATAAAAAAGAAGGCAAAGAAAAAAATAATCCCCATCAAGAAGTAATTCGTGATCTTGTAAAGATGTAACTGCAATTTTATGGATTCTGTGGTTGTGGGAAACGGTGATGCATGGAAAATGATGAAAACCAACAGCATTTTTTAGCAGTTATCTTTAATTCAGGAGTTATAAACATCGGGAGGGGAAAAAAGGGAAATGCAGGAATGGTGGGAGGAAGAGATCCAACCTGCTCGTTCTGGCGTGAAGATGCCTGCTGGCAGGAAGGGGAGTTCAAGGTAAAAGCTAGTGGTTGGCAGAGGAGCATGGCCATGAATATCTGGTAACGATTAGGAATAATGGCCATGGCAGACTTTCACTCCTAATAATTGGTTTATGTCTTCAACATCAGCTTTACAGTGAAAAGCAGTAGAGTACTAAGCTGCATCACAATAAAAGGGAGAGGGATGAGTGCCTATGTCTGAGCATTAACAAGCTAAGCTGTTTATGAAGATCCACCAGGACATGAGTTTTCAACGGCTGACAGTTTTGTAGTCCAAAGCGCTCTCTTAAAACAAGATGCGGTCTGTTAGAGATTTCACAAGAGGACAATTAATAAAACCTGTGAGAAGGCTTTTCAATGTGAGACAGGGTTTTTGGAGAGGATCTTGAAACATCATCTACATAAAGCCTTCCCATTTTATATTTCCTGTTTTATGTGAATATCTTTAAATTAAAACATGCAGAAGATATTAATTGTGGCAGGCGAAACAAGCACAAGAAACTTCAGAAACCAAGCTTCTCTTAATAGGGAGAAGCTTCAAACTAGGCTAAAAGTGAGGAGAGTTTCCTTTGGGGAAAAATCCTGAAGAAATTCATACTGCTGAGACCACTGGGTAATTAATAGAGCTCTAGTGAAATGATGTTTTAAAAAGCCAAGAAACATTAACAAGTGGGTTTAAAAATAGAAAATGAATGGAAAGCATTTCATCTTCTATTCACTCCGCAGAGTGTTTCATAAGAGAGGAGGAGGAGGAGGAGTTGTTCTTGGTGTTTGGGATTTTATTTAATCTTAACCCTAGAATCACGCTTACGACCTTTCAATACCTATGAACTTCAAAACAGTGAAGCTCAGAGAAATACTTGAGGAAACTGCAGAATTACAGTTAACATGGCTGTCTGATAGATATTCAAAGGCATCACCCTGATGATTTTTCAGTCCTTGAGTCTGTGAGAGCAGGAGAGGGGGATTTTGTGGGTGTCAATACTGCAGGGCTTGACACTGGAGATTGAAAGCATCTCTGTTGTTAGATGGCGGAGGTACACAGTGCTCCTGACAACTCTGGTGAATGTCAGTCCTCTTGGTGAAGTAAGGGGACAAATACTGGAAGCACCAATGTCCTTTTGGGGAGCAGGAGGTACAGGGTGTGGAGGGGGAAGTCCATGATCTCCCACTGCTGGGGAACTGGGAGTGGTTTTGTGGAGTGGCAGGGGCTGAGGAATGAGGTTGGCTGAGGAACTCATATAAAGAACATGCAAAAAATTTACGTTCTCCAAATAACCACCCCACTGGGCAGACTGGTGAGCTCTTACAGCTGTCGTGTTTTCATGGTTTTTCCATGGTAAGGCTCATGATTCTGCAGGACCCTGCCCTGCAGGACTGGGAGCAGAAGCAGGCTAGTGAGGAGGCTCACGTATGACACTTGCATGCGTGTGTGCACACGTGCTATGGACGCATGTGCTGTGGACCTGCGTGCCTGCGGTCAGCAGCAGTGCGAGGAGGAGGAGGACGGCACAGAGCAGTTAAGCAGAGTCTGGATGCCATTTCAGAGCTTCGCCCTTAGCTCTAGAGGACTAAGGGCCTGGCGTTGTTTGCACGTGGCAAACGGGCCTTGTTCTCGCTTTGCAGTGAAGTCAATAACGCGATGTTTCTTCTTTGTAACTCTCTCAGCAGTAGTCCTGGCAGTGAGGGCTGGTGGGTTGTTTCCTAGGGTGTGCAGAAATGCCATCCCCTCCTAGGCCAGTGGGCGTTTATGGGCAGGCAAAGACAGGGTAAGTGCGAGGAGGGGGAAACCCCAGGATTTTCTAGGGCCAGGCCCCTTAGCCCATATGGCTGGATAACGCGTATTTGGAAGTGGCGCCTTACTGTCACTGTCACACCAGCAGTTACTCTGTTAGCGTGACCTGGAGCTGCAAGCTCCTTTCAGCAAAGGCAACTTTTCAGGTGCTGTGTGCTAGTGTATGTTGAGATGGAAGCTGGCACCCCATGTCACTTCTAACTTGGTGCACGTTACTTGCGTGGTGCTAATCGGCTGCTCAACCCTCGGGTGCCATTTCTGTGCCAGGAGCGGGCAGGAGGCCGTCTGCGACGATGTGGGACGGGGTGGCTTGTACCACACGGGTCTGGTGTCCTAAAGGGAAATGTATCTGCCTGCCTTTAAAAATAGCCTTAAAAACTGACGTTTGTTTCCATGGCGACAGGCCTGTTGGAGATGGCGGGGAGGCAGGAATGACAGTTGGGGGTGTGTGGCCCGTCCTGGGGCAGGGTCCTGCCGTCTGTGTGGGCTCAGGGTGACCCCAGCAGTCGGTCCCAGCCCCGCAGCGCTGGGGCCAGTGTGCTGCCACCCGGCCGGCCGCAGGTCGTGTTCATCCGCTACCTGCCTTTCTGCCCTCCTCCTTCAGTCCGTGCCAGCCTGTTGCAGGAGGGAATTGGATTTTGGGAGTTGTCTCCATCTGATTCAATGGCACCCAATGTCTGCAGCGGTTTTCATCTATGTATTCACGAGTGCGGGGTCCCAGAGCCCCAGAGTAGGGGGAGGCTGAGGAAAAGGCTGTCTTGTTAGGCACACGATCTTCAAGACAGGTTTAAGCCATTCAGTGTCCATTTCCATCTTCTGTTTTTTCCCTCGCCAAGTCTCTGACAGCCTTACTGAAAATGTTATTTAATGTTTCCTTTCAGCCCCTTGATGTGGAGTGAACGATCACTCTGACTCTCTGAGCACCTTCTTGCCCACTGTTCCAGGGGAGCAGTGAACTTCTGCCATGGGCCATTCTTGTTGGCCACTACCTGGCTGTTACCGCAATTTCTACAATCACTAAATTGACCTATTGATGTAATTGTAAATCTTAGATAAAGTTTTTTTAAAAGTGCTTGAAGTGTAAAACCTGGCAAATTCATAAGCCTGTGTTTAACTCTTCCGAGAAATCCTGTTGACCTCAGGGTGAGAACACGTTTAATTGTCTATAAGATCAGGGTCCCAACACCAGTTTTCCCTGGTTATTCACTCTTCTGACTTCACCGTATTGAGGCTATTTCCCCAGCTTTGTGCTGAAGAACTTTTCTGAATACTTGCAGTTGCTAGTGTGGGGTCTCTGAAGGTGTCAGTCGTTACATCTCCAGCTTATGAAAGCATTGGCAAGAGTCACTATTTTAAAGCAGATGTGTGCAAGACGTCTGGCATTTAGTTGTTTGGTTTCCCCCCCTGAGAATCTATTCTTACATTTAATTTTGCGTAAACTTTTAAGACTAAAGATACTAGAGAGAGAGAGATTTATAGGCCTGACCTGCTTGCTTGCAGCTGGCTGACCATGAACTTTTGTTTGCCTGAACTGGTGAATAAAGTATCTGGCCTGGGGAGGGCTCCAGCCTGTAACATGGAAAAGGAGGCTGTGTCCCATGTAGCGATGATCCACACCAGTTGCGCTGCCGCCTCCCTCACAGCAGGTTTCTGCTTTCTAGTTGTGAAACCTGGGGTTTTCGAGACAACTGCAGAGTAGCTGTGGGGAAGCACAGTGGGTAGTTGTGAAGTGGAAAATGCTTGGAAGGAAACGAAGAAGCTGGGAGGGGAGGCGGAGAATAGAGCTGATGGATAAGGGACACCTCTGGCTGTGCATCAGGGCCTTTTGGGGCGCAGATTCACTTCTGACAGTTGCAAACAGTTAGGGAAAAAAAGCTTTATTTTCTATTATGGTTGGTGCCTGTCTGTCTTCAGTTTTCCAGCCTCTGTAGCCTTTTGGAAAGG